ATATGTAACATAAAACATACTTTTTGTAAACAGATATGTATATAAAATGAAATTGCATGTATATTGGTGTAAATTTACATGATTGTATCTTTTCTGGAAACACCCGATGCATCAAAGATACATGTAAGCGATATCTTCTATTCTCTCTTCAGCTGTTAATTATCATTCGACAGGGTTAGGGTTAGGGTTATCAACCAGTTAGTCCAGTGTATCAACAAGGTAAAACAAACAGACAACAAATCGAGATCGGTATAAATATCTTTTCGGCCTGTTTACGAAATTTTTATCGTTGTATTATACAGAAGTGCATGCAAACAGATAACCTTGGTGATACCTTTAAATCTAAACTTAAATTCAGTGCACTTTGCACATATTTTGAAAAGCGTCAGTGGGAAGTTTCAACGGTTGCAATTAATCTTTATTGGAAAAAATATAACCAAATCTTCACAGAAATCCCTACAAATAAAGATACATAGCAGGATCCATTAAATGCTCGATCTAGCCTCTTTCTTCAGTCCAGTCCAATACGAAAAATCGTAATATTATGAAAATTCGTAATATAAGCAATTTCTAACTTTTCTAGGAGTTACTTCCCTTTGTCTGATACAACCTCGTTGTAATGTTTTATCAAATCATGATATCGTGGATATATGCAATATACCATGAGAAAAGATGAAACAATAGTTTCTTGCAATTATTTATATGAAAAACCTGAATAATTAAGCAAGCAACGCATACATTTATGTCAAATGTTCAAAAGATCTGTTTTTTAACCAGTGACCTAATTTTAGTGTTTTTGAAAGCAGCTATTAATAGTAACAAAGTTACGTCGTTTAAGCATGCTTAAATATTGAATTTTCAAATACTTGAAATTATTGACATGACTCATAACTAATTTTTGAACCATATGTTATGCTTGTTTAATGTTATTTGATATCATTTTTCAGCATCCCTGATATTCCCAAATCAACCGATACCAAATTGTAGTGTCGAAAAAATGCACGGTTTGAAATGAGTGTGAACATATAATACTAATTTTAGGACAACTGCTAAGTCCTCGATGTAAATAAATTATGAATTGTTATACTGCTATGAATCATTCTATTACAGAAAACTGTAATCATGGTATTATCTCAGATAAGTGCATATAAAAACATAATAAATTTTATTGTTGCGAAAATTGGGCACGGCTGTTTATACAGAGACACAAATTATGAAAAGCTATCGGTGTCTCTGGCAACACAACAAAGCAAAGATTACATAAATTGATATTAAATATTCAAACTTAGGTTCAAAAATCATAGTTCAAAGGTCGAAGTTCACAAACACCATCTCAGAAAGTGGTAAAAGCCTTGACCCTGGGAGGTGCAGAGGTCAAGCACTTATTTATGTATATCTAAATCCAAAGTTTACTTTTCAACTTTCATGAGTTACATGACTGCATAAAAGGAAATTTACTTAGTGCCGCTCGTTTACGCCACAAGTTCCCAACCACAAGTTTTTTGTGCTAGGAAACTCCGCCACCATATGGTCGGGGGTAGAGCGTCAGAAGTAGCCATACCCAAGCCAATACCTGTCATGTCTGATAAAATGGAAACCCTGTAGAATTAAACTCATTCCCCGATTATACATGGAGTCGATGTGATGACTCTTAAATCAATTTCTAAGATACTTTGGTGATGAGTAGATCAAAGAAACATGTACTTGTGTAATCACTATAACCCAGAAACCAGCAGTAGATACACAAATTACATAAACAATAATCAGATTACATATTTAAAATCTATTTTATATCTGAATTGAAGGGAAACTGTACTAAATTTCCACTGGAACTATTACCTACTTAATGGAATACATGTACATGTATATCAAATTAACCTAATGAGAAAACTGTAGAAAACAAATGTGGATCGAACTCAGATAAATGTATAAGTATAACCATACAAAGGAGAACGTTTCATTGAACAAGCACCCCATGAATTTCTTTGGGTAGGATCATGTGCTTAAGAGAAAGTATTCCCTACTGACTGTTCAAATTTAGCTCAAGCCCTATAAAGATTGATCACGTGCAATGGGACATTGTGTTCAAATCTACTATGAAAACAAGGACCTAACAACTAGTATGAAACGGACCAGCTAAAATATGACCTATCTATGGGTTAAATTTGCAAACAAGGTCAGTATAACAGCAATAGATTTTACAAAATCTAAACTTTTTAAGAAGGTTTATCCATGTTTAACAAACTAAGTTACAATACTGGTTTAAGCCATTACTGATTAGCAAACATGGCTCCATACTATTGATGTAGAAAAAATGTTTTAATATACAATACAATTCTAGCTTAGGACACCCTACCACTAATATCAAGAGTTGGGGAATATGTTACACTTCTAACAAAAAAGTGAATGATGTTCGATTTAGCATTCAAAGGAAATTATTACTTTTGTACGAGAAGTATGTCCAATCAATGACCTGTTTGAGCCATAAAAATTAATACTCATGAAGTCTTGTGATTTCAAAGTTTTACCAAAATTTAATTCCAGTTAACAATTGTAGATTTAGTAAACAACGACCTTTCATCTTTGCGGATTAAGTATTAGATCCTTGTAGTATATGAAATTAAAAGTTGTAAATATTTATACAAAGTGTAATAATTTGTTTAATCATTTGGTTTTGAATAATTTAAATAATAATAAGCTACACAGCATAATTTGATGTATGAGGTATGTGTAACACTTTGATTTTTGTAAAAATTGAAAAATAATTAGAACTAGTGAAAGACTAAAGTAAAATGAATGCTGATCAAGTAATTTTATAGTGTGTGTATGTTTAAAATTTAGTGTATGTAATGGATGGAATTAATTATTATACATTTTTATACACATATAAACACAAACAACATCAAACAACACATATTCAAAACATTCAACATTTTTTTTAAGCTACCCGGTATTTGAATTTCTTATCACTTGAGAATGTCACAATATCAACAAATGTAATACTATAATTTCGCCATACTTGAGAAGACAAGATTTTCTCCTATATATCTCATGATTGCACATCATGGCCCCACCTTATTCCCAGGGTCATGATAGAAACAAAGTTGAATTTACTCTAACTGAGGATGTTTCCATATTATTATCACCGATAATAGCTTTGCTGATCTTGAGAATCTTTAAAGGTTTTTCCTTTATCTTCCTATGTGAAATGTTGATCAGTCATTGTGGCCCCGCCCTTTTCTCATGGGTAGTACTTTGAACAAACTTGACTACACTACCTGAGGATGCTTCCACATTAGTTTCATCTTTACTGGTCTAATGGTTTTGGAGAAAAGGATTTTTTAATATCTTTCCTATATATTCCTCTGTAAAACTTTGACCAGCCATTGTGGCCCCGCCCTACCCCTGGGGGTTATGATTTGAACAAACTTGAATCTACCCTACCTGAGGATTCTTCCATATGAGTTTCATCTTTGTTGGTCCATTGGTTCTGGAGAAGAATTTGAAAAAAAATTCTATACATTCCTATGTAACACTTTGATCAGCCACTGTGGCCCCGCCCTACCCCTGGGGGTCATGATTTGAATAAACCTGAATCCACACTACCTGTGGATGCTTCCACATGAGTTCAATAATCTTTCCTGGCCCAGGGGTTCTGGACAAGAAGATTTTTAAAGATTTTTCCTATATATTCCTTTGTAAACCTTTGACCAGCCATTATGGCCCCGCCCTACCCCCTGGTGGTCATGATTTGTATAAACCTGAATCAACACTACCTGAGGATGCTTCCACATGAGTTTCATCTTTCCTGGCTCAGTGGTTCTGGAGAAGAAGATTTTTAAAGGTATTTCCTATATATTCCTATGTAAACCTTTGATTAGCCATTGTGGCCCCGCCCTACCCCTGGGGTCTTAATTTGAAAAAAAAAAAAAACTTGAATCTGCTCTACCTGAGGATGCTTTCACAAAAGTTTCATCTTTCCTGGCCCAGTGGATCTGGAGAAGAAGATTTTTACAGCCCCGTGGGGCTCATGATTTGTATAAACCTGAATCTACACTACCTGAGGTTGCTTCCACGTGAGTTTCATCCTTCCTGCCCCAGTGGTTCTGGAGAAGATTTTTGAAGATTTTACCTATATATTTCGATGTGAAACTTTGATCAGCCATTGTGGCCCCGCCCTACCCCCGGGGGTCATGATTTGAACAAACTTGAATCTACATTACCTGAGGATGCTTCCACATGAGTTTCATTTTTCCTGGCCCAATGGTTCTGGAGAAGTTTTTTAAAAGATGCCATTATTTTTTCATTAATTCCTAATTATCTCCCCTTGGAAGAGGGCTTGGCCCTTCATTTAAACAAACTTAATCCCCTTTACCTAAGGATACTTTGTGCCAAGTTTGGTTGAAATAAGCCCAGTGGGTCTTGAGAAGAAGATGAAATTTTGAAAAGTTTACAACGGCTACAACAACGACAACAACAGACAACAGACAAATTTTGATCAGAAAAGCTCACTTGAGCCTTCAGCTGAGGTGAGCTAAACAGGCGTCAACAGATTACAGTGGAAAAAAAGTACTGCAAGCCTGGTTTAAATTTCATTGTAAACAGCTCGTGGGTTTTCAATAGTTTCTTTTTGTGTGCTGAACAAAGACCAATGAAGACACACCCATATAACTACCGTATAAGTAGAATTTTTAGCGAGGATTTAATTTGGCATTGTAAGCGAGGGTGCCGAGCTCGCCAAAATTAAATATCGCTAAAAATTAATTGCGTTTATTTGTAATAGCCTCTTTAATGTGCATTTTAATATCGCTAAAATAACATCTCGCTAAAAATAATTTTTTAAGGACAAATCGCTAAATTTGCGTCTCGCTAAAATTTCCACTTATACGGTATCAAGCGAACCAATCAGATACCGTTGAATTTTTTAGAGATAAAAGAATTCTTCACCAGTCAATATTCTTCGCTTGAAATGGCAGCATTTGACTGGCTGAAGAAGTAGGTTATGTTCTAAGCATGTCATTGTATAGGGCACTTGATGATAGCTGATCCATGGATGAACATAAGGACAGGGTGTTTCTCATCACAGGTGAGTTATACTAAGACAGAAATTAATTTATGAAATATTAGAATACTTCTCATGGCGGAGGTGCATTTATCATAATATTTACGTGCTGCAGGTTCCAGCTCCGGTATTGGGGAAGGCATTGCTGTCCATCTCGCCAAGACCGGGGCAAGGTTGTCCTTGACCGGAAGAAATAAAGTCAATCTAGAGGCGGTTAAGGATAAATGTGTGACGGAGGGTTTATCGCCTGACAAGGTTACTTACTGAATATTCCTAACATTCTCACCAAGGATTTAGGGTAACCTTTTTAATTAATAAAAGTTTGATTTTTCTATTTAGAATGGTAAGCTGAACTTCACTTGTACTTTAAATGTAACATCCACGGCAAAACAACATGAATTCTTTATGTTTTTACGCTTAAGTTTACAAGAAAGAAAGTTTGATTGAAGGTTTTTTAATCTATTCGTAGAATACTTTCGAAAATTCAGATATTTTGTCAATACGAGGGTCATTAAAAAAATTCGTGGACTTTTGTCCTAATTTTTTTTAACGTCATTTAATATCCAAATTTGGTACACAGATTTTAACAGCAAAATCAAATAATTTGGTTTAAAAATTGGAATATATCTTCATATTTTAAAAAAATATATATATCAAAGATTTAAAACAGCAAAAATGGGATCGCGGAACCATACCTCTAATAATGGGAGCTGTTCAAAACGAAATAATTTTTTAAACATGTTTAAACTAAGTCTTGCCGTATTACGTAAGATTTTATCAGGTTATGCAATATATCACTCCGTTTAAGGTACAACTTTACTCAGATGACTAAAAATTCACTGATAAGAACGAAAAACCACCTATGGCACATTCTACACCTATAATTTTTGTGTTATATTTCAATTTCAAATAACTAGGTCAATGACCTACTTTTCATGCTAGTGGCCCCTAAACATTTCTCGAGAAATACCTCAATTTTTCACTCTATGACCATTTTTTTCTTCACTCACAAAATATCACAAGAAACAAAATTCTTTAAATGATGAAATATTATAGCAATGGAAAGGTGTTGCTTCATAAGAAGAAACGATTAGAGTTTTGGCTATAAACTTGATAATTATTACAGTCCGAATTTCCTCTGTCATACATGTAGTTATATTTTTCCCCATTTTTAATCGAATGTTTAAAAAATCTAACTGATAAGAACTCTAAATCATTTATAGCCTCATATTTCCTTTGTTGTCGTAATTCTCATGGTATTAACACTATATGGGGTCAATGATCAAATTATTGAGATATGTTGCCCGGAATGGTTTTTGTTCATATTTTTTAATTTCTTTATTTAATAGCATTCAGTTATTTGAAATAATTTATGAGCTTTAAGACATATAAAATTTGCAAAATGATGTCTAAAAACACCTGAATCTTTAAATTTTGATTAATATTGCAAGAAATAACAGATTTTGACAAAAATGAAAAATTTAAAATTTAGTCCGAATTATCTCTGCATTACCTTACACTGACTTTTGTTCCTGGACATTTTCTTCAAATAATAAATATGAAATTTTTAAATTGATATTGAGTTAAAACTTCGTAATTTTATCCATTTAGAGCAATTTTTGATTAAACATAATTTCCTTTCTGTTTTCTGAAACCTGAGTAAACGTCATCCTTAATTAAAAGAGTTCTCTGAATACACATTGACTTGATTAAAAAAGTGGAAAAAACACGACAATGGAGGGCACTTAGTAGCAATAAAATTTTGCATTGCATACGGGAAACTTCTTTACCAAACACCGACAATATTGTTCAAGCTATTTGCACAATAGTTAGCAAACTAGGTTTCAGGTGTTATGGACATTCCCACTTAGCCCAAATTCTGCATTCCCTATTCCCATCTAGCCAATATTCGGATTTTCACACCTGAGTGTTTACCTGTGTAAAGTCTGTTTTAAGCTAATTACCTGTAATATTTACCTGTGGTGTGTAAGTTGAATATCAAAATACAGTACCGACCGTACACAACCTAACAGAAAGCGAACCTGGAGCGGACCCCGGGTTCGCTCTCTAGGTCCGCTTTGGGTTCGCTCGGGGTCCAATAGGGCTGACCCCGAGCGAAACCGGAGCGCACCCACAGCGAACCCGAAGCGGACCTCGAGCGTACCCGAAGCGGACCCAGAGAGCGAACCCCAAATTCAGTAGCAGTCCCAGAGAGTGAACGCGCGCTCGGTATTTCTTCACAGAGCTGTCAATCAGTATAAGCGATTAACCAATCAGCGCGTCAACCAATCAAAATAGCATATTGATCTGTCGATTGGGATAAAAGATCGGACGTGTTGATTTAATTCAATATAAATCCAAACATTGTACATACAAACAAAACGTGTAAAGTTAAAGTGTAAATCTATTATGATAATAAAGATATTATATTATTTTTATTTATCTTAATTCTCCTGTTTTTATTTTATATTTTATATATTCATTTTCTTTTTTTTTATTAAAGCAATTAATAAATCATATATTTTAATTTTCCACGTAGAATGATACATGAATATTTACGTATTTATTAGGTCTTTCCACAGAATATTAGGTCTTTCCACCTTTCTGTGGAAAGACCTATTGAAATGCTTATGTTTATTAAGGTCTTTCGTCTTCACGGAAGACCTTATAGTGATTCTACTGTTTTTTTATTATTCTTATTTTTTAGACAAATATTGTGCACGAGATATCTGGAGAACTATTCATCGGTTTTCAGGAATGATGCGCTCTTATATGCCATTGTTACATTTGGAAGAATTTTGGAACAAGTTGCTTACGGGACAAACACCACCAAATGTTTTCCCATAGACTTCCATACAAACTTTAGCCCCTCTCACTGATACATATATTGAATTTCGGGCAAATGACCTTTTTGTCGTGAAAGTTCGAGATATTGGAAAACAAAAAATGCCAGAAAAAATATACCGTGCCGTTGCACTTTTACTTTCAATTTCCATTTGTTTACAACTAGGTGTGTTGACACCAAATGAAAATGTCTAACCAAAGTGCATCCCTCCCTTCCAATTTTTACCTGTAACTCCTATATACCTCAAAGAAACCCAAGTCTTGATATGAGATTTTTATCAACTTTATTTCACTTGTCAAATACATAACAAGTCTTTTCTCTTATTGACCAATCACGCGCCAGCTAGCATTTTCTCCTCCGCACAACTTTGGGTGTCCAAAATGTCTGCGCCCATGTATTTGTTTATGTAGGGGTTTTTCCTACGGTTCTAAGTTATGGCCATTTTTCTGATTTTAAAATGAATTTTGTCAGTTCGAGATCTAAAGAACTGCTAAAGATATGAACTGGAGACTAACCGGAGAAGATAGGGCATGACTACTAAACGTTCGGAATGTCCTTTTCGTGTGTCGTCAGTACTTCCGGTCGCTACCGGAAGCGAATATAAAAAATCAAAATTTTCAACTTTTTTGTTTTGCGATAAATTTCTTTGATATTTATAGGGTTATAAGTGACTCTTTTCAGAATGCAGAATATGTCATTTGTCTTAGAATCAAAAAAGGCAATCTCGAGATATTCGCATTTAAAAACTTGAAGCGGCGTTCCCGATAGTGTAATGGTTAGCGCGTTGGATTTTCACGCGGGCGACCGGGTTCGATCCCCCGTGTGACCAAATTTTTTTATGACTTTTTCAGCTAGATTTTTCGTTTTTATTTCAGAATCGGACGGAAGACCTCTCGTTGCTCGCTACGAGATCGTTTCTAGTTATCATTCTATTTCTCACCTTAGCTTTTGAAACCGTAAGACTTGTAGAAAAAGTTTTTAGTTGTTGATACTGGATATTTAAAGTTATTCCGACAAATCACCCCCTATGTTAGAACTTTGACCCCTTATGCAGTTATTACCCCTTTCACTGTAAAGCTTGTGATCGCTCCACCTCAGAAACCGTAAAAAGTAGAGGTACAAAACCTTCACCAATGTCTTCAACTAAGAGCCTGGCCCACGAAGGGTCAAAATATGCCCTGTAAAATGGTCAAAATTAAACTGAAATTTTGGCCAAAAATTTTTTGCTTAAAAGGTAGTCTAGGTATTGTAGTTTATTAAAGTGGAAAAAATCTTGGAGTTCCATACTTGTATACCTGAGATCTATAGCCCCAAAATCGTAGAAAATCAGGAATTTGCTTGATTTATCACATTTTGGGGGCTAAATAGTCAAATTTTACATAGAGCACAGGCCTGCCCCAAATTTATTTGGGGTTCAGTTTAAAACTAACATCAAAAGGTTTCTATTCATGAAAAAAATTTTGTGGGGCAGAAGTGTGCTCATAACTTAAAAAGAACATTTCCACAAAAATCCGAATTTCCTCAGTTTTAACCCTTTTGCCCCTTGTAAATTATATGGTTATAGATTTTGTTAGAATATTACACATTTTCACAAAAAGTATCATACTACGATTTTTTCAGTTGTTCACTAACACTTTAGTAGGTGTATAGGTCCACTATTTAATTTTTTTTTTGGGGGGGGGGGGGGGCAGTTTACTTTGATTAGTTGATCCCACAGGAGGTAAACAAATATCTTCGGACTTTTCTTTGAAGTCATGCGTATAAAACGTATGTATCATGTATCAGCAAAAGAAAAGAATACATTAAAATATACTAAATAAGAGCTACAGAACTTTTAAAAACCATTAATTTTGAAGTTGTGTACAAATACTGAATGTATTCAAAGTCATATTCGCTATTGACGTATTGTTATTGTTTGGCATTGCTCAGTAAAATGGACAACACAAAATACGCACGTACATGTATAATTATAACACGTAAAATTCTACATCTTCATCCTTAATTAAAACCATGGCTTTTCCTTAAACCATGTTTGTATACATTGATATATCAGCCTATTCGAACTAATCAGGAAGATATGGTCTACAGCAGGTGAGAAGTGAAAGTAAAGTTTTCACTAAATACCAGAAACGACATAAAACGTTTTATGAAATAAATAGCCTAAAGACACATTAATTTTTTTCTTTTTTAAATTAATACTCATAGTGATTACATGTAGCTTTTGGGTTAATTCTTCAAGGAAAGCAAATCCTCTTTTTTCAGGCATTATTAGAGCTATGAAGGTCCTAGGAAGAAATATTGGGGGTGGGGGTTGCAGCCACGAACCCAAAAAAAATTCCAGGACTAGCAGGAATAAAGAACGTAAACGTATAATGTTTAGGGGATAAAGCCGCAATTTATCAATATTTAT